AGGTGATAAGACTGGAACAAACTGTATATATTGTGATTGGACAGAAGGATAGACAATGTATTAAGTAGGCTAATTGTCAATAGTTGTGATTAGCTGTATATAATGTGAATGTAGGGTCACTTCGACTTCGCATTGTTTTAAATGTAAAAAAATAAAAATATATTGAAAATAAATTGAGTGTAAAAGCCACCGTTTTGATAGGGATTTTCCATCAACCAACTTCCTCTTATCCACCAACATGGAAGTTTTTTAAGATGTTGTGAATTAAAAAAAAAAGCCAAGGATTTTTGGTGCCAGATAAAGATATGGTTGGAAGAGATTGTTTGACCAAAAGATAGATTTAAAACCAGAACTATTCTTATTGGGAATAATGAAAGAAAAACACAGTAAAGGAGTGACATATTTAATGCGGCATGTGTTAACCGCACCCAGATTGGCATATGCACAATGTTGGGGGTGGGTGGGACAGAGATGTAAGGAAGAGGTAATAAAGGAAATTTTGGATCTGTGCAGAAATGGACGGACTGACACTAGAAATCAAAAATAGAGACGAGATGGAATATTATGAAATTTGGAACAAGCCTCAATGGTTGGAAATGAGGAAAAGGAGTCATAACATAACATTTTGGGGAACTATAAAACTGGAACCGGATAATGCATAGATAAATATATAAAGGAGGATAGGAGATGTGTTAATAAGATTAATGTAGCTATGCACGATAAGTAGAAGTTTTATTTGTTGTTGTGTTAAAATATGTATGGAAATGACGAAGCCAGAAAGAGCGCTCTCTGTCCAATGTTATTAATATTTATTCAATCAAAAAAAAACTTTAAAAAAAAACATGTTGTGAGTACAGGGTACAGAATACAGAATAATTCGAGTTGGAAGGGACCTTGGAGGTCTTCTAGTCCAACCCCGTGTCCCAGCAGGAGAAGAGATGCTTTTTTCCACCTCTCCCCCACTTTGCTGCCCCGAATATAATAGAGAAATTGTTGGGAATCTTTTGCGGTGGAAAAATCTCGCATATTCGTTTTAAACTTTCCCATGTTGCATGTCGAGGATTGTGTTGTTGCGGTGACTTCTGATGGACGTGAGTTGAACCGAAAGTGGAAAGAATGGATTTATTTTTGAAGGTGAGTCACCGTTGAAGGAAGTGGGTTCTCCGACCAGAGACACTTTCTCCCTTGAGTGGAGCAAAAGAAAGGCTGGAATGATCCAGAGATCTTTTTTTCCCCCAGCTTCCAAGGGGAAGTTGTTTTCAGCCAGCTAGCAGAGGACAAGTGCGGCTTTGTGACTTTGGCTTGTGAACTTTCCACCCACACGGAATAAATATTCTGATGTAAGCGGTCACTTTGAAAGACCAGGCGTCACTCTGGCTTTTGGTCCAGTCCAAATGAATAAATAACAAATCTAGGAATCTTGTTACGTTAGCAATAGAAGAGAGGATTTGGTAGCTCACGGAGGGGCTGTGGGGTCCTTGGTGGTCTCCGAGCTGGGTGGTTTTTCCCTGCAGGCGTTTCATGACCCAACTGGGGAACAGCATCAGGGCTAGAAGGGGAGTGGGTTTGCAGAGAGGAGGAGGAGGAGGACTGTGGGGTCCTTGGTGGTCTCTGAGCTTGGTGGTTTTCCTTGCAGACGTTTCGTGACCAAACTAGGGAACAGCATCAGTGCTAGAAGGGAATGGGGTAATGCAGAGAGGAGGGGCATTGTAGGGTCCTTGGTGGTCTCTGAGCTTGGTGGTTTTTCATGCAGGCGTTTCATGACCCAACTGGGGAACAGCATCAGTGCCAGAAGGGGAGTGGGGTTTGCAGAGAGGAGGAGGAGGAGGAAGACTGTGGGGTCTTTGGTGCTCTCTGAGTTTGCTTGTTTTCTTGCAGGCTTCTCATGACCCAACTAGGTAACGTCATCAGTGCTAGAAGGGAGTGGGGTTTGCAGCGAAGAGGAGAAGGAAAGGAAAAGTGGAGATGGAGAAGGAGAAGGAGAAGGAGGAGGAGGAGGGAGAACGACTGTGGGGTCTTTGGTGCTCTCTGAGTTTGCTTGTTTTCTTGCAGACTTCTCATGACCCAACTAGGGAACATCATCAGAGTTAGAAGGGAGTGGGGTTTGCAGAGAGGAGAAGGAGGAAGAGGAAAAGGAGGAGGAGAAGGAGGAGGAGGAGGACAAAGAGGAAGAGGAGGAGGACTGTGGGGTCCTCTCTGAGTTTGCTTGTTTTCTTGCAGACTTCTCATGACCCAACTAGGTACCATCATCAGTGCTAGAAGGGAGTGGGGTTTGCAGAGAGGAGGAGGAGGAGGAAGAGGAGGAGGAAGAGAACGACGACTGTGGGGTCCTTGATCCTCTCTGAGCTTGGTGGGTTTTCTTGCAGATGTTTCATGACCCAACTAGGGAACATCATCCGTGCTGGGAGGGAGTGGGGTTTGCAGAGTGGAGGAAGGAGAAAGGGAGGAGGAGGAGGAGGAAGAAGAAGAGGAGGAGAAAATGAATGTGGGGTCCTTGGTGGTCTCTGAGCTTGGTGGTTTTTCTTGCTGACGTTTCATGACCNGTCAACCCTGAGCCGGTGAGATTTGAACTGCTGACCTGCTGATCTAGCAGTAGCCTGCAGTGCTGCATTTAACCACTGCGCCACCTTGGCTCTTCTTTGCTTTTTGGATGACATTCCTGATGTTTAGGTCTTGAGATATGATAGAAGCTAGAAATGCGAAGATCTCTACGGTTGATCCTGCCTTGTCTAGCATTGCAAGAGGTTGTGGGATGGGAGAGTTTCTCCCAAAGTCTACATTTGATTTGAATGACAGTTCAAAGCAAACGCTTTTAATGAAGAGAACACTTTTTGGCAAATAAAACACTTTTGGCAGCTCCCTCTCCTGACAAGCCTGAATAAAGAGATTGGAGGCGGGGGGGGGGGGAGGCAGGAAACCGGGCATGAGATCCTCCAGTCATTTTGGAGAAAGAAATTGTCAGCCTTTCATTTTCTCCGCTGCTGCGCCTTTTAAAGATTTGCGGGCTTGTGGTTTTTCATTGTTCTTCCTGTCCCTGGGCGGCTGAGGAGCTGCACCGTTTTTTCTGAAAGCTGGAAGAGAGATATTTTTCCTCCCTCTTCCAGGATGGTAGCCTGTTCGAGCTTCAGGAGCGTGTTCGAATATGAAACGAACAAAGTTGTGCGTATTTACAGCGTTTGGTACAGCAGCGTAAAGTGGGCAATCCACTTTCTGGTTTTCCTGTATGTTAGGTAAGTTTGAAAAGGGGAGATTTGGGTAAATCAGTGGGGAAGGGAGGCTTGCCGGGAAGGGGGGGATTGGATTGCTGGGTATCCCCTCTCCCCTCTTAAATAAGAGTTTGTGCTCCAAAATTTCGGTTACAATGTGGAATTGGCTAAGTGGGAAAAAACTTTGGATACTGAATCAACTAGCAACGGCTACGGCGTATAAATAAAATCTTTATAAGATGTTCTACAGATGGCATCTCCCTCCAGCACGGCTCTCCAAAATGTTTAAAAACCTGGCCCCAAATTGTTGGAAGTGTAAAAAAAAACACCAGGCACTTTTTATCATATGTGGTGGATGTGCAATGAGGCAAAAAAATATATATTGGAAAATGATTCAATCATGGTTAGAACAAATGGTGGGAGACCAAATCTTGTTTAAACCAGATTTTTTTCTCCTAGGCATAATACCGGAGGGGTTTAAGAAAGATGCACTTTATTTAATTATACATGTACTAACTGCGGCATAATATTGGAAAAAAGAAAATACACCACATATGATTAA